CTAATCTTTAGTATATAAACACTGTGCAGAAAGATCCGTGTAAGGCCGCTTGCGTTAACTCTGCCATGTGGCCACTTACCTCTCTCCTCTCTCCCAAGCCTTCTATGCTTGGCAGAGTTCTGCAGTATGCAGCTCATGGAAGGGGAGGGGAAGAACCAGGGAAGGGTTAATGTAGGGTGGAGGCCACAGGCAGCAGCAGTAACTTCTGCCCATACCTCTCTGGGATCGGGTGGGAGGCCATCCAGAAGCTCTGTCACAAGTGAGAAGGAACAACTGTGCCTGCTGACCCGCCTTCCCTCAGTGCACACGAGGATAAGTCACAGCTGCAGCCTTACAAGGTCATAAGAAATCTCAGTTGCTGAGGTGAGGGAGAAAGGTGGAGAGACTGGGACAGAATCCCTATGGCAGAATATCCTTCGTGGTGGGAAAAACACCAGCAGAGAGCCAGGCTCATCCTTCCCGAGGCCTTTAGCACACTATTTAAGGGTCCCTAGGGATGCTGGCAGCTAAACAAATCACAGTCACTGACCAAGGTCTTCTTCCCAGGGTCCATCCCCTGCAGCCAGGCCAGCTCTGGGCCCAGCGGGAGCTCAGAACTGGGCTCCCAGACAGCTCCTTGCAGAGGTCTGGACGCTTCTGCAGGGGATGACACAGTGCTCCTGCTGGGTATGGTTGCATTAAGTGGAAGGAAGGACGAAGAACACATTGTGGCCAGCAACCTTGCTGAGGCCACCCATGTCAATGCTGGGACTCCACCTACATCTGCTGAGTGCAGGGGAGGATATGTCAGTTCTTGATGCAGCTGTAGCAGTCTGGCTACCAGGCCACTCTGGGCACCATCTGGGTGCCAAAGGATGAGCTGTAGGCATCCTTTGCTAACAGGTCTCTGTCTCTGTCTCTCTCTCTCTCTCTCTCTCTCTCTCTCTCTCTCTCTCACACACACACACACACACACACACACACCCCTTGAGCTTCCCTTCTGTCTCTGAATCACTTGTTTTTTGTCTCTCTCTTTCCCTGTCTCTATCTTCATGTGCGGTCTCTATTTCTTTTTCTCCTACTCTTCTGTCTCCTTCTCTCTCTCTTTCATATGTTCACCAGTTTCAACAGACAATCATAATACTAACACTAAAAATACTAATATAGCTGATACTAGAATTTTACTAAATGCCTACAATGTGCAGAATATCACATTGGGCCTGGGGAAGGACAGGGGACAGTTGTTTGAGGAGCTCCCTAGCTAATGTGACAAATAAGCAATTTATTCACCACCCATTTAGCCAGAAAACATTTTTTAAGCATCACTATGTGTCAGGCATTTCTGGGTATTAGACATAGAATGAAAAAAACACAAAAAATTCCTGCACTCAAAAGCACAGAATTGAGATGGACAGATATATACGTGCACAAAAGAGAACTGCATTTTCTATGGTGTGAAGAGAAAGAATGAGGGCCAGGCTTTAGAGCAGAAGGAGTGTGGAGACCAGGGAAGAGGATTCCAGGGAAAGGGAATGATGGGTGTAAGAGGACCAGAGGTGGAAAAGAGCCAGAAGCAGGAACATCCTCAGGATGCTTTTTAAAATACTTTTTAAAATTAAGAACAACAACAAAAGAAAACACTCAGATTATGGTCCCAGGATATTTAGGAAGAGGAGTGGAATTCCAGGAATGGTGCTGAAGAATACGAGGGTCAGGGATGAATCGGGCAGGAAGAAGATTCGTGTGATGTCCAGGTTTCTGACTTGGACCACTGGATGGCTCAAGGTGCCGCACTCCTGGGAATGGCTTGAAGAAGATCAGGGTTCCAGTTTTTAACATCTCGAGTCTGAGCTACCTATGGGATAGGCAGGGAGACGTGGTTGTCAGGTTGGTTTGGATCAGTGAAAGAAGCATGTCAGTCTGGAGATGAGTCTGGAAGTTAGCAAGAGGAGGATTGATGCTGGGGATGGATAAACCTGCCTGGGGGACATGGGTGGTGTGAGAGTGGGGCTGGGGGCTCAGCCGAGAACTTTACTTTGTGACCCTTTCATTGAAGAGTGACCCGGAAGGGGCACCAGCAGAGCCCATGGATGACTGAGCAGAGGGAGGAAGGAGCTCCATGTATCCAGGAAGCCAGAGCGAGAAGAGCTTCTAGGAGGAGGGATGGGTGTCATGGTCAAACATTTCACAGATCCTTACTGTCTTCCTGAGAACACTGGCCTGTTTGGGGTGTGGATTCTTTTTACTGTCACATGCACCTTGACACATCTTGGTGTTGGGAGTCAGGATTGAGAGAAGACAAGAAATTCCTCAGAGGCTTTCAGGAAGGGCCCCTTCATTTAAAGACCCTGTTCCAGAAGGAGTGAAAGTAGGCCTCCTAGCCCTGTGAGTGAAAACCAGCTTTTCCAAACCACCCTTTCTCCTGGAAGGAACAGAGGTTGGGGAGGTTGGAGGCAGCCCTCTGTAGGACAGGAAGATGGATTTAATGACATGAATCCCCTGCTCCCATTGCTGGGTGGATGCAGAATTCATGCAGTGCTTTCTGCAGGGAGGTTAGAGGAGATGAATCCATTAATTACTGCCAGGAATGAAATGAAAGAAACAAAGAAATAAGCAGAGCCCAACAACAGAGCTGGAAGAGATACCAAAATGAGCTGCACACTGTGAGGTTGGAACTCACAGTAGTTTAAATTCCAACAGCCTTAGGGCTGCAAATCCCATTGCTGTGAGTCCAAGTGTTGATCCTGGGGTCATACTTCCTGTGTCGTAATCCGGGCTCCCATGGGCTATGATGTTTAACACCTTCATGTCTCAGCGGCCTAATTAGTAAAATGGGCATACTAATAGTCACTTTACTCAGATGGGTTATAAGTGAGTAAATCACTTCAACACAGGAAAAAAGCATTTACACTCAGCATTATTCCTGGTGAGTAGGAGTTGCCAGGAAAGACCACCTGTGCACAGCATCATTGTAGTTGTCATTGTCATCACCACCATCATTTCAGACTTCTGATGACATTGCTGCTTTTGCAACTCAGGAACGAAGAAATGGTGGGAAGTTGAGGAGCACTGGTTCAGCATTGATGTCTAGCAAGAAAGTTAGGTGAACCCTGCTCAGGCTAGAATCTCTGAGGTTAGGAACAAATGTCAGGTAGAGTTTTAAAAGTAGACACATTGGCAGTACTTTTATAAATTGTATTTTGAGGCTCCTATGAAATTCACAACTGGATATTGGAGTGAGCAGTTGGATATACAACTGAAAAATAAGACCAAGGAATGAGAAATAGGGAAACTTCAGAAAGGAAAGGGGTGAAATAAAGTGGTGGTCATTTCACATAGCTAGAGAGGTAGAAAGCGTGATACATCTGCACTGGGGAATGAGTCAAAGGCAGAGTCATAAGATTTGGGAAAAGACTCTTGTGATACCCCAAGAGTAAGCATATGGCTCCCCAACACCAGCCATTCTGGACATCACCACTCAGACTCCTGGCTCTAAATTCTCCTGGTTCCCACCAGCTGGCAAATAATAGCAAATTCAATATAACTTTTATTGCATGTCTGGCCTCCTTCTGAGTACTTTTCATCTAGTACCTGATTTAACCTTTGTGGCAAAATGATAAGGTAGGCAGCATTACTGTCCTAATTTTGCCAATGGGTAACTTAGCACAGGGAGACAGGAAATATAGTATGTGATGCAGCTTATTGCATAAGACTTCACAGAGACTAAATGATGGAACTAGTGACCAAAGTCCCCAATTCTATATACTGAATCTCTGTAAATGTCCAGCAACAATGCTGTTTAGGGAGGACATGAAATCTGGTAGATTATTATAGAAACTCTTGCCCAGGCTCTTCAAGTTTTTCTGTTTTCAACTTCATATGGTTTCTTTCTTCTTTCCACAAGTCCTAACTAAAATGCACACCTTTTATCCAGTAAGTATCCCTCAAACTCACCTGCATCATCTCTTAGCTTTACTTAAGCCATCTCACTTTTCACGTACTCTTCCTAGTCTTTCAAATTGTCAAATTCCTTTAAGCCTCGTGCTCAAATTCCTTTTTCTTCATAAAACCTTCACTCAAGTCCATAGTAATTTCATGATATTTAAAATTCCTTTTTCATCCCTTGATACCCCCCCTATGTGAGAAAGATCTATCTTTCAACTTCCTATTATCTATCTTTTATTTTACTCTTTGTTTATAATTTGGGTTTCTCATCTAAGAAAAACCATGCGACAGTTAAGCACGTGTGTCTGATTTGTTTCACTTAACATTATGGTCTCACAGTGCATCCATTTTCCTACAAACGACTTGGGAATTAAGATGTGTTATGTATGTGTACAATTCCACACAAGGAATATAAACATTATGTACTACAAACATGTACCAATAAAAATTTTTTAGATTCCCATGATATTTGTTATTTACACTTTTATGTAAATCATTAAATGTTCATTTATTCAATGCTCATTCACCTTTGTCTAGCACCTCTTGTATGTCGCTGGGTAATATGAAGATGAACGAGACCCATCTATAAAGGGCTTACAGTATAATTAGGGAAAGAGACATAAAACAAATCATCATTGCTGTAATAAGCACTTTATAGTAGGGCTGTGTTCGAGACAAGGCCAACTCAGAGGAGTAAATGATCAGCTCTCTTTGGAGAAGTTAGAAAAAGCTTCACATAGAGAATTTGGCCACTATCCTGGTCTTAAAGAATTACTAGTGGCTTGTTAGGTGAAAGATGGGGTAGGGAAGTGGTGAGGAACACTGCAGGTTATGGTATGCCAATTGCAAAGATATGAAGACACGGCTGGTAGCAGCATGTGATCTATTATATATTAAATAACTATTTGTGTCTTATATTCAATTGGAACATATTTATGCCATTTTTTTCAGCTAGGTGACATTTAACCAGGTCCCTGAATCTGAACCTTGAGATTGTTCCTAGTGGGCAGTTCCCAGGGCAGGGGACAAGTGGACTAATTGATCAGATATGACGTGTTTGTTTTGTATTTGTGCAGACCAGGGATGCTCTTACCACCATTCTCCATGACCTGAGACCCCAGGATCATTTCAGCATCATTGGATTTTCCAACCGGATTAAAGTGTGGAAGGACCACTTGGTACCAGTCACTCCTAGTAATGTCATAGATGGCAAATTCTACATTCACCTCATGTCTCCCAGTGGAGGTAAGAATGATCCTTCCTTTCACACCAGCTTTGGCATGATAACAAGCAAATTTTCTGCTGTGGTCTTGGTTAATTTCACTTTGATGATCTGGAAACATTTGAAGCACTCGTATCAGTTTTATCTTATTTGAGATTTTTTTCATTTTTCATATATTCATTATTTCCCATCCAAGAAAAAGCACTGCTTTACCAAATAAACTTCATTTGGAACTTGATCTTGCCTGGCTGGTACTTAGACTTACCATGGTATTTACTTCCATCCTCCAAAAGTAGTATAATCTAAGAACTGTTTAATTATTTGATGAGAGGAAAAAAAAGATTTAATATTATAGTTATTGTCTCTGACAGGAAGTTGATAAGACTGTAACCTGGAGGGAAGAGATTCCTCTTCATCTTTGCAGCCCGATTCCTAGCATGGTTTCTGAAATGCTGTGCATGCTCAATAAATGTTTAACTGAATTTATTTAATTAGAATTATGTGTGTGTGTCGGTGGGAGGTGATTAAACAGCTTCAGAAAACAGCTGTCATATATTATGTTCTTTTGGAATCCAAACCTTAGAAACTCTATTGGTTTCTTCTTTTTTTTTGACATTTCATTGCCTCTACTCTGCAAGTGAAGAGCAGATTAATTTGCTTCTCTAAGAGGTATAACTTCAGGATTGGAAGTGTATATTCTGAAGTCAGACTGCCTAGATTTGAATCCATCAGCCATTCAACTTCTTTGTACTTCAGTTCCCACATCTGCAAAATGAGGAGAATAATGGAGTTGTTATTGGGATCAAATGGGTTAAAATATTCAAAGTGTACAGAATGGTTCTGGTGTGTAGGAAGTTATCTTTGTGATGTGGCCATTGTTTTTGCTCACCTGAGTAGTCTCCTTGGTGGCCCCCAGGAACGTCAGGCAGCTTTGCAGGATTCTTCTTGCAGAGAGCACCTCACTGTTGCTGAGTGGGCTGGAGAAGCCTCGCCATAACCTAGGTTTGATTCCAAGCCCTGCAGTGCCATTGGCACCTGAGTGCAATCAGTGAAGCTAAATCCACCCTTTGGCCCCAGCTCTCCTTGGCTTTAAAGTGGAGTGAGAGATTTGGCATAGCTCCTAAGTACAAATTAAAAAGAATACAACACCTGCCAGGTGGTATGTGCCTACTCATCCAGAGGCAGCAAGAAATGAGACCCACATTGCAAAAGGAAGTGAATGATTCCAAAGAAATGTTAAAGACTGTTTCAACTGTAACTTTGCTTCTGTTTGGAATCTGAATGCATCTTAGCAGGCATTATAAACATTTTTGTCACGAGCACGGACTTAGCTATTTTTTTTTAAAGCCAGAAATGTTGGAGGATTTAAAGTAATGAGGAAATGATCTGCCTCTTTCAAACATTGTACATTTTGCAGGTAGCTAAAAATCACTCTAGACAGGATGATGGAGGATGGTGAGGGTGACAGAACTCTACATTTACTAAAAATAATGAATTGGATGCTTACAGTGTGATTTTTTTGGTATGCAAATTCTAGCTCAACCATTAAAAAATAAGTGGAATTAAAATAGGTGATTTTTTTGGCATGGAAATTTTACCTCAAGCTATTAAAAAAGTGACTTAAGGATCTAGATGTTCAAAACTCTCAGTTTTGCTTGGTGATGATGGAACAGTAGTGGCTCAGTTGAGTGAAATTCTTAGCTAACCCGGAAACCTCATTTTAACTGGGGTTTCAACCTCACCTAACCACCCACCTCTCTATATACCAAGTAGACACTTATTTGCCAGCTTCTACACACCCTGTCACATAGCTTTAATTTGAGCTGCTGACGACAAGCACCTTTCTAAAGGAAAAGTTCCAGGGTCCAGGAGTGTGCATTTCAATGGTTCCTTCCATTGTGGGTTCTAATAAGCGGAGGTAGCCCTGAAGGAGCAGCAAGTAAGGAACGGAAAGAGAATGAAGGGAACTAAGTAGTTCCATCAGCGCCACCTGGTAACATTTGGAATCACCTGAGATTGTGCCTAGTTGCCCTACCCCGCTTCCTTATTCTGTGTGCCATTCTTCTCTCTGTGACTCTTTCTCCCTTCAAATTCCTGCCCCCAACACCTTCCTGTTCTTTTCAAAGCTAGTCCCAGAAAAGGGTGGAGAAGCAATTAATGCTAAGGTAGTGAGAACTTCTACACTAAGGTAACATCAGTTACCTTGAGAAGAAGGTTTTCACAGCGGGATTACCCCATGCCATTTATATTTATCTAGTGAACACTTGCCAGGTTTCTAGCCAAGCTGAGGGTTCCACGCAGCTGTGAATGTGCACTCAGGGTCAGAAGGTGAATACAGAGGTGTGAGCTGTCTTATGTTATGTCCCACAGGCACAGACATCAATGGGGCTCTCCAGGCAGCCATCAGGCTCCTCAACAACTATGTGTCCCACAATGACATCGAAGACCGGAGTGTGTCCCTTGTCATCTTCCTGACAGATGGGAAACCCACGGTAGGGGAGACTCATGGCCCCAAGATTCTCAACAATACCAAGGAGGCTGCCCAGGGTCAGATCTGCATCTTCACTGTTGGCATTGGCAATGATGTGGACTTCAAGCTGCTGGAGAAACTGTCACTGGACAACTGCGGCCTCACACGGCGCGTCCATGAAGAGGAGGACGCGGGTGCACAGCTTATTGGGTTTGTTTTCTCTTCTCAGGAAGAGGAAATGCTATCTAAGGGGGCTGGGGGTTGGATTCCATAGAAATCCAGACGAGAGTTTGTTTTTCCTGTACCTCACATCTACTCCAAGTCCTTCTAAGTCACTGGTCTCATCCTGGGTTTGGAAAGTAGGCAGATCAGGGTTCAAATTCTAGTCCTGCTTTGTGGCTTTAGGCCAGACTTTAAGACTATCTGTGCCTCAGTTCCTCATCCATAAGATGAGAATTATAGTTAGCTGACAGTATTTGAAGAGAAAACTTTTGTAAGTTAGTGATACAATGGCTCTTTATATTAGGCATTTAAAGAGTCCTTATGGTTGTAATTGCCTTCTTGATATTTTTAGTACAATTCAATGATCATTTTTTAATTTGGAAGGAAAATAGCCAGTTTAAATTGATAATTTAATGATAATCATCATAATAATAATTTAGCAAAGATACTTTAAATAATAATCAGATTATTATTTTGAGATAGAGAAGAAACTAGAATTTAGGCCTTCTAACACAAAGGTAACTTCCCTTGGATACCATGATTACAGTATGTAATTTTGCTACTAACACAATGGAGTGTCCACTTGCAGTTCAGCATGGTATGACATCATCTGTATTTCTTTATAATTTTTATAATTTTTAAAATTTTTATTAGTACATATTTGCATACATAATGATTACATTCATAACAGGGAGTTAGTACATGCACATAACACATCTTAATTCTTTTTTTTTTTTCTGTACCAGGGATCAAACTCAGGACTTTGTGCTTTCGAGGAACCACTGAGCTAAATCCTCAGCCCACATCTTAATTCTTGACATGAATAGCATATATTGTAAAGGAGAAGTGAGGTTGAGGTACCTTTATAGATGTTCAATGGCTATAACCAAAGACATTTAGTAATGATAAATCTCACTGAAATTCTAGAGTATACAGCAAAGACCGGCAGTTAGTATGGAACTGGCCACCAGTTTTCTTCCTGCATTTTTATGGAACATTTAAATGAAAACAAGAATTTGTTTCCTATACTTTAAAACATCTTTAAAACTAGACTCAAGGGCCACTGAATGTACCAAATTGAGATTTGGTAAGGGGTTCACAGTGAAAGTAATTACTTGGAAACAGATTGATTGCCCTCTTGATAGTACTAAAAATACTATCCATTCTAGCACTAAGTGAGAACTTAAAATTTGCCTAGCATTTCTCCAGGCATCATCTCATGTGACCCTCACAAAATCCTAAGACAGTGATGGTGAATCTTTCAGAGACTGCAACCCCAAACCCACTTATTTAATGCAAAGTGCCAACACTACAACTAAACCTGAATACTGAGGTTTTAGTTTAGAAAAAACAACTCATACATTAGCATTTTGATCTTAAAAGAAAAACAAACAATGTGCACACCATAGTTGCACCACCACTGTCCTAGGAGGTTCTAGGCATATCAAGGTAGATGCTATGCTGCCAGGCAGAGATGGCCAGGTGAAAAGGCTGACCTAAGAGACACCTTCATTGCTTCCTCCTGTAACAGAGGATGGGCTAAATTCTGGTCCATGCAATCAATCATCAGGGACTCAGGTTCTTTCTAGCCTATTGCTCTTCCCCACGTACTTAGGTATTGTTCTTAACTGGAAGGTTGAAATTCAGGCACTATCATTTCCACATTGCAGCCTCAGAAAGAGAGAAAGAAAAGAAAGCCATTGAACGCGATTTTATTTTAGGCAAATCTCTTGTCACTTATATTCCATTAGTGACATGGTCACACAGCCTTAATTAGTGCAGTGGAGAACAGGAAATGTCTTTTGTAGGCACTACTAGATGAGTGCCTAGTTAGAACTCAGATATAAAAGAAAGGAAGAATGGACTTGGAGACATAGCTGGTAATCTGCCAAAGTAGCTCAGTACTAACTGTTAACATATTGGTTTCATAGATGAAGAAACTGTCATATTCCTTAGAACACAGAGCAAGGAAATGGCTGAGATGGAAGTTGAACTCCACATCCCATGGTGTGTAGATCTTTGGAAAGGGGACTTTGTACCCTTACTTAGCAAGAAGCAGCCACATAACAGAGCCACAAGAAAAGCTATCAGAAACAAATACAAATAATGTGCCACTTAAAGTGCATCTGTAACATGTATTTGGTTTTTTTGTGTTTTGTTTAGTTTTGTTTGGTACTGGGGATCGACCTTGCATCCTTGTGCTTGCACAGCAGGTGGCAAAACCACTGAGCTAAATCCCCAGCCCTATTTGGTTTTAAGAGAAAAGTTTTCAGGAGCCCTTTGAGAAACTTAGGTGTGTACAAGGAAAATATATTAAGAGTCGTGAGGGTGATCTTGAAATTGTATCACACGAAGAATAATTCATGAAAGTAGGTGTTGATTAGGCAGCATAGAAGGAAGACTTCAGGGAACACACAGCAATGTCTTTTGAGCATTTAAATGGCTGTCATGTTGAAGATGGGTTAGACTAGTTCTCTGTTGCTCCAGAAGCAACACTTAGATGGCTGGGTGGAGATTTTAGGGAGGAAATTTTAATCACTTCTAAGGATGTTCTCCCTCATCATCAGAGCAGTTGACAGAGAGGCTCAAAAGCTCTGTGAGATAGGAGTACTCTCCCACCAGAGGAATTTGAGCTCCTGATGGATGTCCTCTGCCACAAAGATTGTGCTGTGGACTGAGATGGACTTGATCACTGCAAGTCAGATCACACCCCTATGAGAGATGTAATTTGCTGCCAGACAGGCCCTGATTCTTTCTGTTCCTCCCCTGCAGGTTCTATGATGAGATCAGGACCCCCCTACTTTCTGACATCCGTATCGATTATCCCTCTGGCTTAGTGGAGCATGCCACTAAAACTGTGTTCCCCAACTACTTCAACGGTTCTGAGATTGTCATTGCGGGGAAGCTGGTGGACAAGAAGACAGATCAGCTGCATGTGGAGGTCACTGCCAGCAACAGTAAGAAATTTGTCATCCTAAAGACAGATGTGCCTGTGGAGCCTCAGAAGGTGGGGAGTGGTGTCCCAGGAAGCCCCAGTTCCAGGGGTGATGGAGAGGAGGACCCCAACCACATCGAGCGTCTCTGGAGCTACCTGACTGTGAAGGGGCTGCTGAGCTCCTGGGTGCAGAGTGACAATGAGCAGGAGAAGGAGAGACTGAGGCAGAAGGCGCAGGACCTGGCCATGAGCTACCACTTCCTCACCCCCTTCACCTCCATGAAGCTGAAGAAGCTGCTGCTTCATGAGGACACACTGGAGGTCGCCCGGGGCATGTCTGCTGTGACAGGACCTGAAACCGTGATGCAGAGCCTGCGGGGATCCACTATGCAGCCAGGTAGTGCAGCATCCTTGTGGCCAGGCACACTTGATCTTGTTTCTGACTCTTTGTAAGGTTGTGGCAACCTCAGCAGGAGTCTGTTTTATTTTATCAGATTATAATTTTTATAAACAAGAGCCCTACATGCAGCAGGAAGTCTTCAGAAAATACGTGAGATTGTGTGTTTGTATTGTTATAAACTGTGGCTTTCAAGGGAAATGAGAAAACATGGCACATGGACTGAGAAATGTGGCCATTGGTCAGCCCATCAATAAATCACAAATAAATCCAGTGCCTGCCATACTCCAGGAATGACTGGAGGCACCAAGAAGAACAAACAGACATAAATATTCAGTTTCAAGTGCCTTTTTTTTTGATACTGGGGATCAAACTCAGGGCCTTACACTTGCGAGGCAGGCATGGCACCACTGAGCTAAATCCCCAAACCTTAAGTGCCTTTTTATATTTTTAAATACTTCAGAGTTAGGTCACTTTATGTGTGTACCTGTTTTTATTTTCTTGAGAAGTTTGTGAAGAACCAAGATATCAGTTCTTGAGAGAATCCACCCAGAATCTACACAGAGGCAGCCATGCTCACTCTTACAACACAATTACATTTCTCATTGGGAATTGTACCTTTACATAATGCATCTTGGTTCTTATTTTTTCCCCATTCCTAGCCCTCCCTTCACCCC